CAGAGATGACTGTTCCGGATATTTTAGGTTGGGTCTTGTGGGGATATTTATTAATTGAAATAGGTTAAACTCATCTGCAAAATTTGTGGCCACGGCCGGCGGGATTAGCCAATTCCAATTTAGATCACCCACTAAAACTATTTCACCTTTAGGGAGGCCCTCAAGAAGCTCAATACCTCCCAGAAATAGCAAAAGTAGAATTAATAGTTTGCACATGTATTTTCTGTGAAAGGGTGAAGAGCGGCGAACCTTGGATGAATAGTAGCAGCTCACAGATGGCGATATTTTACTACACACTTTTATTTAACTCACTCTGTCTGTTGTTGTTGTCGTTGTTGTCGTTGTTGTCGTTGTCGTATCCTCAAATCTTGTAACTCAATTTTAACCCATTTCCCAATATGGTATCGACTGCAAACTTGGTATACTTATGTCATACTAATGACAATACTATATTATATCATTGCAAATAAAAAACAATATTTTTAAACAATATTTGTATATGTTATGTTTCGTCTTGGCTCTAATTGTCCACGCTCAACTGACGTTGGCTGTAAATCACCATGGTCCCTTACGTTATGGAGTTCTGCCATTACTCGTACGGTACATTTAATTAAATACGTGTTTAAAAAAAAGTTTTTTTGAATATTACTTATTTTTAAAGAGCAGAATTAAGTTTAGAAGGAGTGCTGGTGAAGTAATGGGACAGAGATAGGGTTTAAAAGGATACAATGATGGGGTGTAGAAGTGTCTATAATCTGTTTCATTAGCAGGTGTAGTGGCAAATTGAGCAACAAGTATGGACGGGAAGTAACGAAGTAACGAGGGTTGCCGGTGGTAGAATTGAGTGGCACTAGATATGGCCGGGAGGGACAGCAGTAGGATACACAGCAGGAGAATTGCCATCTTTAAAATATCAAGGGTACACACAGTTTAACACACAAGAGAAAAAAAAATACTTGTAGGCCGAGCACAAGAAACGTCTTGCCGCACTCAGTCACATATGCGTGGCTTCTCGCCCGTGTGCTTGAGTTTTTGGAAATGAGCACCGCCCTCACCAGGCCGTCTCGTGTGAGCAGCTCACAGACCTACGTTGAACTTCTTTTGCACCATACACAGCCGACTGCGATAATCGGAGGTGCGGGGGAAGGACAACAAACTAAACACGCAAAAAAACTGTTCTAAAGAAAGTAGTTTTCAATCTGCCCCAGTGGCTTCCTCATATTCATTAATAAACCTTAATTGGATAATAAATACACAATATGAAAAGCCTGAAGCCTAAGGCTTTAGAGGAGGCGCTGGCTATCTAGGCCTTGATAATTTTAAGTCAATAAACAAAGTAAATTAACCCTACATTTGAATAAATATCCTTACATTTGTATTATAATAAATATGTAATAAAGATCGTGGAAGCGACTTCTGGAATCCGGTCTTTATTTGTCTTTCGTTCACAACACTCCTGTCTTACTCCTTCACGCTGCTAACAGACAGCGTGAGAGGGAGAGAGAGAGAGACTCGCGCTGCCACGTGGCAGGCCTGACCCCCGCTCCAGCGTGGCCTCACCCTTCGTCCGTTCCAGATCTGACCACGAGTTGTCCGTCTCCACCCCTTTTAATACTCGGGTCACGTGGTACCTTTCCACCAGTCCTGGTTAACCTCCATGGAATCTTCCAGACTCCATCGTACGATCCCAGGACCACGCCCCTGACTCGTCCCCCCATTGGCTGTGGCTAAAGCCAGCAGATCCAATCATCTACTTACAGATGTCACCTTCCCATTACGTCAGGGCCACGCCCCTAGACTTCTCCCCAATGGCTATGGGCCAGGACCGGTAGAGCCAATCATCGTAACGAGGTGTGATCAATCAACCCCTCGGATATATCCTTACATTACATCACCCCCCCCCCCCCCTGGTGTAAAAAGTCAGCCGTCTCGGCTGAGAAAAGAGTGACGGCCCGAATCCTTTGAATAACATTTTAGGGCATCCATGACGCATTAACAAGGTAAGGGGAGTAGGGCGCCAACGCGCAGAGGAATTAAAACATTACAGACATAAAAACAACCGACGTACATTAGGGCGCCCCTGTAGCGCAGTAACACCAGGGCGACAGACCGCAAGGACAACAGTATTAGCGAAATGGGAGACTTCGACCGCGTATGCGACGCCGGACCCTTTCCTCCCCTCGCACGTGGTTGCCTCGCTGACTGTTCAGCAGGAGGTGGGTGCAGTGGAGAAGAAGAAGAATTTTCGGTGTCCCCTGTGGCTGGGACAGGCCCCGCTGGAGATGGAACGTCCGGGGTCTCGTCGTCCTTCAAAACCTGTGCGTCTGCGGGGGGTAGAACACGGCCCCACTGGGGATCAATCGACGAGGCAAGTGGCACATTCGGCACGCCAGACGCCGGCAGGTCAAGGGCCAGCATGCGGGTCAACAGAGGGCTTGAGCCGCGATGAGTGAACATACCAACGACGTTGGCCGTACTGGATGCGAACACTCTGGGGATTTCGATTTAAAGCTTTCGTGACTGCAGGGATCTATCTTCTTGGTTCTTTCGGTAAAGTCACGTAGAAGGGAAGTAATAAAATAATAGAAATAAAACATAATAAAATAAAATAATTCTCACAACGTTTCGGCTACAACGTAAGCAGCCGTCTTCAGGTGAAGAATGAGACACTACCAAGCTAGGAGCTTATATATACGCTGCGTTGGAGGTGCAAGAGCGCCTTAACAAAAAGAATGTGCATATGAAGAGGAATTTAGCATATTCATGGGAAATGCGTAGGAGGTGGGTGGGGGGGGGGGGGTTTCATAGTCATATTATGCCCATGCATTATGCAGGATCAACAGCACCAAGGGGGGGGGGTGCAGTAGCATTAACAAAGGAAAAGAATGTTAATAGTATGTAGCTGCAGTTACTAAACAACAACGTAGAAAACTAAAGTATAAACTACATAAAAAACTAAAGTATAAACTGCATAGCACCATCAGTATACTTACTATACTCTACAATAAGCTGAGTTACTAACAGCAAGCAATACATTACAATTCTACGTCGTAAAAATTATATAATATGCTTCCATCTAAACTTTATTCTCTTACATCACACGAGCATACACCGTACTATATACTGCCATAGATAAACCCAACATTAAATTATATACTGTATAAGGTATAGGGTGGTTTATAGCAATACCCTGGAGTCTATAAACTGAGTTGCAGCTGTGGTGACTGTTACATTGGGGAAACGAAACGTCATGTCTCTGATCGTGTCCGCGAGCACAAGTCAGATTTGAAACACGGCAAAATTGAGTCTTCCGCCGTTGCCGATCATTGCTGCAACGCGGTGGGCTCTCATGATATTGTTTTTTCAGAGACTAAAGTGTTCTGCAAATCCTCTGGCTACCATCAAAAGTTTGTACATGAAGCCATTCAGATATACAAACACAGACATAATTTCAACCGTGATGATGGGTACAAACTTAGTAATCATTGGAAAGATGTTATCAACCATGCAAAAAAGATTTAACTACACATTTTTGGACCATCTTATCTGACAGGCACTATTTTACTTTACCGAGTGTTAACATCCCTAGCGTTTAACAGTACTCTCTTTATTGTCAGCCAACACTGGTATAAACATGGGCATTTTCATTTATTTTCTATCATGTACATCCACAGTGACTTGCGCACAAACACATCCATGCCCACGCTCACGAGTACCCCCGTGCCCTCTTTTAGCTCCGCCCCCCCCCCTCCCGATACGTTCCATTCATTGGCTACCACATTCTGATAAGCTCCTCCCCCTCTCCTCCCCCTTAACTGTTATTTAAGAGCTTGCATCTTGAATCCCTCCCTCACTTGATGCAGAAAATCTGGCTGTGACGGTCCCACCTGATGACGGAGACTTGTGTTGCCTCCGAAACGTCGTGATTTTATTGTTTTATTTTTATTAATTTTAATTTTATTTTTTACCTACGTGACTTTACCGAAATAACTAAGAGTATGAATCCTTGCAGTCACGAAAGCTTCAAATCTATAATTAATACTGGTAATTGCTGGGGATGTCAACACTCGGTAAAGTAGAATAGTACCTGTCAGATAAGATGGTACAAATATGCGTGGTTAAATCTTTTTTACATGGTTAATGACATCTTTCCAATGATTACTCAGTTTGTACCCATCATCACGGTTGAAGTTATGTCTGTATTTGTATATCTGGATTGCTTCGTGCACAAACCTCTGATGGTATCCAGAAGGTTTGCAGAGCACCTTGGTCTCAGAAAAGACAATCTCATGAGAACCCACAGCGTTGTAGCAATGATCGGGAACGGCGGAAGACTTAATTTTGCCAGGTTTCAGATCTGACTTGTGCTCATGGACACGATCAGAGATATGACGTTTCGTTTCCCCAATGTAACAATCACCACAGATGCAACTCAGTTTATTGACTCCAGGGTATTGCAAGTCAGGAATGACATCCTTCACATATGGAATTAGATCACGGATTTTATGTACTGTACTGAATCGGACTTGGATCTTATGTTTGTTTAGAATTTTGGAGATCTTTTTGGTCACGCCTGCTATGTATGGCAACATGATAGTTTTGATCGGAGTTTCAAGTGGCTGTTTCTATATGTTGGGAGAAACAGCTTGGCGGATGGTGCGGTCAGAGTATCCGTTCATCCTGAGGGCCCGATGTACATGTCTTAATTCACTGGCCAGGTGGTGTTGCTCAGTAAAAACATAAGAGTATGAATCCTTGCAGTCACGAAAGCTTAAAATCTAGAATGTTGATGGCATGTTGATGAGCAAAATTGCTGATTAAGCAGCAGTTCTGCTGACAGATCCTCAACGTTGTAGAACTCGGAGTGCCATTGTGGAAACTGGAGGATTGCACGACATCAGAGCTGTAGGTGGCGATTCGTAGAGAGACCGAGCTCAAAACTCAGTCCACTGGTTGGATTACCTTCTCCGGGGGAGCCCGGGTACCAGCGAGACATGGACGTCTTTAATAAGATAATAAAGATGCTTAGACACACAGATCAAACGTTATTGTTCTATTGGAAACCAACATGGTTATTTATCTCAGTGTTAATAGCATACATCAATGTACATATTCACACTCAGAGATGGATGTTTTTAGTGAGATTGTTGGTTTTCTTTTTCACCAGAATGTTCTGTCGTGGTGACTCTGATCGTCTGGTTCGTAATGAGGTGGAACTACCTAACTGAACTACCAAGGCGATGTTTGTGATCGCGCCAGTGTTGAACACGAGATCAAATAAGGGAAATTTAACTTAAGTTCAGTAAACACTGACCAGCAGAATACATCTCTACGTTACTTTTATTATCAACGGTGCATTCCAACTTGTCACAAATAGGAACATAGTACAATGGGTCCCATGTGCATGATGTGTGCGTGCTACCACTTTACGTCTGCCAGCAACACGCTGCCCTCGCTGGCCCTTCACAGGCAGCTTGGCTCTACGCATTCCCATTCCAAAACACAGAGCCTCCCCAACTGTACCGTATGTTGAACTTCTTTCGCACTATACGTAGTCAACTGCGCTAATCCGAGGTGCGAATATACAGGCGTCAGGGTCTGGATCGAACCCACGATCTCCTGTATACCAGGCAAGGTAGTTCACATATCCCTTCCAATTACCTGCCCCGATTGTTCATCCCTACCTGGCACCTTTTTGTTGAGTCACAAAATACCTCCATGCTTCTACCTATGCCATCCCACAGTCAGAATATTTATACTGGAGGAACACGATGAGCTCTAAAGCTCTTTTTCACAGATGTCCATGCACCCCCACCCCTAATTTGCATCACCTGTTCATTATCCCAAATTCTCGTGCTTTCCCCTTATTCTATCGGTCGCAACATACTTCTTCAAGAGTATGCAGTCGCGAGAGTTTGTCAGTTGTATATAAAATGAATTAAAGTGAGATAACAGTGTTGCATTTTGATTTGTACGCAGATGCGATTGCCAAGCATATACTTGTCTTGCATGTGGATATACCATTTTACCCCTTCAACAAATGCACAAGCAAGTTTGAACCCCACTGTACTATGATTAGTCTCTGTTTAATCTTATTGAGTGGACTTGCGCTGTAGAGAGTTTACTATTTGGCAAAGATGTGTGTTTGTTAAGTGTTTTCCATTTCTCTTGTTATGATTTATATTTTCTTCCTTCCTGTACTTTATTTTGTTTGCTTTGCTTTTGTCACTTCCGAATTAGACTATCCTGGTATTTTGAGTGTTCACCTAGTTAAACAAAATAACATTAAAGGACAGTTGTGCTGTGCGGTCCCCAAAAGCTTTACAAAAACAATACCCCAATTTTCAGAATCGGCAGCTTAAATATTCTAGGAAAATCACATTTGCGCATTACAACGTGTGTGGGCCCTGGATGCTAAAGCGAGGAGTGGGAGTCTGTGGCTAGTGTCGGCCCTGCGGCGTTTGTGCCCGAAGTGGAGGAACAGCCATAGTTGCTGTGGTCGTTCTCGCAGATCTTGGGGCAGCCCTGGGGGTGGAGACGGAGGGAGAGATCAAGAGACACTGTTTGGCATGTGGGAACCCATCATAATAATTACACAGAAATAACGAAGTTCACTTGTCCAATAGAGCCTCATTTGTCGTCGCCACTTTTTCTTGCAGGAGACCCCTGCACTGGCATGTTTGGCCAATCTTATGGAATATTTTGCATGTTTAATTGACGAAAGCTGCAATGTAATGCTCAAATTTACATATATTAGTCATACATATTTTGCTTAAAAAACTGACGTCCAGAGCCCATGTCACTAAAAATTATGGATCTACTCTTCAGGAGAGAGCTACGAGCTTCCTTGCAGAGAAGGGTTCAGTCAAGTCTTTGGTGCACCATGCACAGCATCTCACAAGAGGCCTTGCGTGATGCAATGATGACATTTCGTACATAAAGAGTGAAATGTCAAAACATGTATTCTATTTAAATCTGAAAATATAAATAAACATATGGACCTAAATATGTGATCTGATAAATTTAAATAATTAATCTGAAACTCATCCCTGACGGATTCACACACTGCCAACATCTCAGGCTTACATGTGTGACATGAAATGGGTCACTATGAAGCATAGTCCTGGTTGCTGGCAGAGAAAGGGATCTGCGGTTGCAGAAGCCCTATCTGTCAGCAGGTCACGTAATAAGCAGAGAGAGGGATGTAAGGCAAAGGTGATCGAGGGGGCACGTGAGGTCAGCCCGGGAACCCACTAGTAGGTTCCAGAAGGGGGGCGTGGCCGGGGGCAGAGCGAGGCCACGACAGGAGGATAAAAGGGGACCCCGAGCAAGTGGAGTGGAATCCCGTCAGGCTGCTGGAGTCTTCATCACCGTCTTCACCTTCTCAGTGTTGTCAGTCAGGCAGTCTGTTAGCTGTCCTGACTGAAAGAGTAGTTACCCCTTGTACCCTGTGAAGGCTATAATATTCCTAGTGTCTCTGAGTGTATCACTACACATGTGTAAGACTTGCTGAAAGGCTGACCCTATTATTATAGATGTAATATTCTCCTGAGATGAATGTGGATATACTTCTTAGCAGCACTTGTGCTGTAGACACCGCAGAACTATCGAGGAACAGGCAGCTCCTGGTTTAATTCCATGTTCCTGGCTATGGTCAGAAGGCAGCTCCAAAAGTTAGGGTGTCCTGGGCTGGCATTGAAAAAACACAAATAGGTTACATGAGGTGTCCGGCTGGAATCGAATATGATTAGCAGGGCTGTCCATAGCGGGGTGTGCGGCAAATCCTAGCATGTGGGCCCCCCGACACCTTCAAGCTAAACCCCAAGTATTACATCTGACACTGTGATGGCAAAGAGCGGAGCCCCCCAATGCACGGGGCCCTGGGCGGTCACCCCGATTCGCTGTGTACCCCAAGAGACAGCTCTGCTGATTGGCCAGGGGATTTGAAGGGTAGAAGCCTGGGAATTTCAAAGGGTAAATTGGTGTGGGTTAAAAAAATAATTGAAAGGGGTTGGCTGGAAGTTAAGGGTCAGTTGAGGAAGACTCAATAATTACTTGCAAGAGCTATAAAGATGCACCGGTCAGTTATTGGGGTGCTTTTTATTATTGGATTCAAAGCACGCCTGAGAGTCCAGTCCTCGTGTATATCTTGCATTGTTTGGTAAAAAAATAAATCCTTACCTAAGATACGTGTCTGTCATTTCACAAGCACACACACCACGATTATATCGGTTGATCCATCAATAATCTAAATAATATGTTCAGAGAATCGCAGGATTTTCAGGGACATTGGATTCGGTTCAAACTAAGGATGTCCTGTAACCATGCAATTTTCAGTTATATTTGCCCGTTATGCAATCATATGCATTCCCCAAACACATGAAATATGCCAGTTGAACCTCCTCCACTCCATGTGGCTTTGCTGTATAGCAAGCCTAGCACATGTGCCACTGTGGCATCACAGTTTATTCGACACACCTGTACATAGTATTTTTTACACCAAAAATTCACTTATGAATGCTTGTTTACCCAGGAAAGCCACGCTTCAGTCTCGATACACATTTCAGTAGGGTCCTGTCAAGTTTTTGCAGTAGGAGCGATGATGCTATGCATACTCCCAATTGAGTAATTTGCAGGTCATTTTTCAGCATTGCAGTGTCTTTTTTAGCTAAAGGAGGACAGCCAGAAGAAACCCATGCTGAACAAGGGGATAATGTACAAACTCCACACAGAATTGTGCCCGATCCAGGAATCTAACCCAGGTCCTTCTTGCCGTGAGACGTAATTGTTGTGACTGCACCACCCTGCAGCCTAGCCTCGTATGCTTGTTCTCCTTTCACCTCCGAGCCGCCTCCATGGAGCGTGGTTCGTCTCTCTGCTTCTCGCTGCCAATGCCATCCACACCGAGAATCTGTGCGGCAGGAGCCTCCTGTGTAGAAGGACCCCTCAGTACTCTTGGGCTCGTGCCCTCCACACAGCTGGCTGGGCGACGCTGGGCACAGTGCCACGTGATGAGCTGAGGATGAAGTTGCAGGCAATCATGCAGGTAAGAAACCAGAGATGAGCAACTAGAAGCGGGCACATATCGACTGGCAACTGTGCAGAGAGGCAACCAAACCACCGACCTGGCACCTCAAGACAGTCAACATAGATACGTAATAGACAAGAAGGCACTGTTTTTATTGGCAAAATAAAATGTCAGGCTATAAACGAAATGGTTCTCCAAACTGTACACCAAATGGTTCTCTGGATCAACATTTTCATGGGACTGGTCTCAATCTCAAACGGCCTCACCAGCGACATATGACCCATTAATCAGAGCTTCTGTATCAGCTGGCCTTTTAAGAAAGAGTCAGAGGAAGCCATCCACAACCAGAAGGAGTCATCCACAATCGTAAAGAGCCATCCACTACGAGAAAGAGCCAACCTCAAGTACAGCAAAGTACAGCAGAGTACAGAAAAGCTGTAAAATCCATACACACAGAGTGAATGACAATAAATAATGTCCATGTAGGTGTTTGTGTTATGACCAGAGAGTCACCCACAATCTACGGAGACAGTGGATAAAGAGTTTATAAAGTGTTTTTGTACAGTACTCGATTTAATTCGACTGTTTGTGGAACTTATCTTATTGCCTTAAAGTGGAAATACTTCACAATGCATGGACATTGATTCTGGTTCAAGTTCAAGTTGAAGTTCATTTATTAGGTATAGCCCTGTGAGCCATTCGGCTCTTGAATCAGGTGCAACCGCAACAAACAAAAAACATGAACAAAAAAACATCTTAAAGTGAATATGTGACTGAGTGCAAACAGAAAATCCAAGAAAAGACAGCAAAATATTGCAGAAAAAACACCGTACACCAACGCTGTGTGCAAAAATCCCAGTGGGATGCAAGTCAAACAACAACAAGACAACTTAGATTAACTCTGTACTACAACAAACAAACATGGCTAAATCAATACACTTTTCGAAATCACCAAAATAAAGCCATGAAAGCAATGACACAGTGATCATAGGAACTGTGACGGAATTTTCACAATAAATGACATAAACAACATGTACTACCAAAACCCTGCAGCCATAGCTGGCTGCATGAGTCACTCCACAACAGCAGGAGCATCAATCGGAGTATTATAATTTTCCAATGCACCTTTAAGATCAGCACACTAAATCAAAACACAGGTCATACTTTGCAGCGATCATCCAGAGCGAAACTTTTATTTTAGGCCACTGAATAGAACTGGCAGCTAGGGGTGTACAACTCCTCTAGAGCAGTTTTGAGTGAAGATCTCATAGGTAGTGACTCAAGTTTCAATTTATTGGCAACAGCATTCCATACCCTGGGGGCATCAATAGCAAAGGCCCGTCCTCCAGTATATGTACGGCAATAGGGAATATGAAGCTGGTAAATAAGTGTAGACCTGAGGTCAAATTTGTTCTTTGAAACAGAGAGGAGATCCAGCAGATAATCTGCGGATTTTTTTGTAAGTACATCATGAATAAATAAGATCTGGTGCACAAGCCGTCGAACATTCAGAGATGTTAAGTTCGACCCAATGTAGAGATCACAGTGGTGAGTCCTATATGGGTCTTAAGGCCGAGTGATACATTGAGTCAAGCTTCTTCAGTACAGTACTTGGGGCTGATTTATACACGATGTCACAGTAATCAAGTAGAGGCAGTATGGTAGCATTTATCAATTCCAAACGGAACATAGGGGGGAAGCAGTGCTTGTGTCGATATAGAAAACCAATTTAAATTTTTGTCTTTTTCCCAATGTAATCAATGTGATCTTCGAAATTCAGTTTTACGTGACTTTACCGAAAGAACCAAGAATAAGGTGCAGTACTGCTTATTATCAAGGCTACTGTAAATGTGATTCAGAGAGTCTAATGCAGCAGATGTGGTGCTGTATTTTTTTCGGAACCCAGATTGTTTTAGATGTAATAGATTGTTGGCGGACAGGAAACTGCTAATTTGGTAGTTCAATAATTTTCAAAAAAATTTCATCAACGGGGACAAGATTGAGATAGGTCGGTAGTTATTTGGATCATCTTTAGGGCCCCCTTTGTGAAGTGGACGAACATAGGAATGTTTCCATTCTAGAGGAACTGATGCTTCTTTGATAGACAGGTTGAAAATATGGGCTATAGGTTTGTATATTAGGTGACCAACAGTTAGTATCTGCTCCGGTAAAGGAGGACCCTTTGAGGTAGGACAGTTGTTTCAGAACATTACTTTCGTGGATTGGCTGAAAACTAAATTCGCTTAATGTTTGGATAGGGGTGTAGGAATTTGCATGAGCAGGGGTGACTCCCAATACATTATAAAATAGGGTACCAGCTTCAGAAAAATGAAGGTTAAAATTGTCAACTATTTTTTGGGGATCTGAAAAATATTCCCCATTTCGGTTAAGCTCAACGGGCAGATTATCTGATTCGGATGCCTTTTCAATACATTTGATTGTTTTCCAGAAAGTCCTGGCATATCCATGTGATTCAAGGAGAGTGGAAGAAAAGTAGTCATTTTTGCATGCCGTATTTTATGACGCATCTATTCCTTAAAATCCTGTATTCTAGCCAGTCATTGACCCAAGCCTTGTCCCTAGTTTTCATGAGCTTTGTAATCAAAGGATCAAACCATGGTGGACGGTTGCCTTTAGTTTTAAATCTAACCAACGGAGCATGTTTGTTAAGAATTTGGAGAAACGTGTACCTGAAAGTCTCCCAAGCCGTAGTCAGGTTTGGGATATCACAGACCTTGTCAATATCCGAGTGGAAGCACATCATTAGTAAATGCCTGATTGCTGAAGTGTCTCATGGAGTGCTTCTCAACCAATTTAGGGGGGGGCTTTGGGTCAGGCTGATGATCTCACCTCAAAAATGAAGGAGTGATCACTAAGGTTATTACCCAGAACACCAGTCAGTGCGAAATTGTGAGGGGCATTTGTCAATAGGACGTCAAGCAGAGATGACTGTCCCGGATTTTTTAGGTTGGGTCTTGTGGGGACATTTATTAATTGAAACAGGTTAAATTCATCTGCAAAATTTGTGGCCATGGCCGGTGGGTTTAGCCAATTCCAATTTAGATCACCCATTAAGACTATTTCACCTTTAGGGAGGCCCCCACGAAGCTGGTGTTAGAAGCAAGACCCATTTGCGCATTACAATGCAGCTTTCGTCAATAAAACATGCAAAATATTCCGTAAGATTGGCCAAACATGCCAGTGCAGGGGTCTCCTGCAATACGAACCATCGCGGGCAATGCAACCGAGAGACCGATATTTTGTCATCCCCTCCAGCATGTCTGACTGGAGCTGGTGACAGAGATTTTAAAATGTTGTTTTCATTACAACATTGGCCCAAAAGCGTCCCTCTCTCACAAGGCCATCTCAGTGAGGGCAATGTTGGTGTGATTCGTAGTTGGATACAGCACCGGGGTGAATTTGCATAACTGGAAGTTGAATTGCCAAATCGATGCACGGGCGTAGCCCCGTTCCAGCTGGCATGTGAGATCACGGCTTTGAAAACCACGCTCCAAATGAGGACTTTGGCACAGGACTTGCATGGGAAGGACTTTGAATGCGTTGTGGAGACGAAGCATTTGATGTGCCAGCGCAGGCGAGCTGGTGAGAGACATCGACAATGTCATGGGAGAGCAAGGGCACCTGTCCATTTGGTCGGCAGAGCGCAGTGGCGATGTGCGAGCCCGTCTTAAACCGCGGCCACTCTGCCCACAACAAATCCGTGGGGGGGCAGGCACTGACCCCGCTGGCCCCTGCCCACACCTGCACACACACACGGGAGACAAACAGTCCCCGCGTATCCTCGAGCAGCACGTTGAGGCCAGTTCTGTTTGCGAGTAGCACCCATGAAGGCTGGCACGGTATATGAGGGGGTGGGTGGCCAGCATCACGCACCAGGTACTCATTGAAGACAATATCAACCTAGGGGACGCCCAGGACTGGTTCAAATATTCACCACTGTTGATGGCCATGAGCGGGAATCGAACTCGGGTTGCCAGGTTCGTAGCGCAGTGCACAAATCACTGCGCCCCCATTCCCCACTAAAGCGCGCGTACACACGCACACACACACGCGCACACACACACGCACACACGCACGTGCACACCCACACGCGCACACACACGCGCACACACACACACGCACACACACACAGGCGCGCACACACACACGCGCACACACACGCGCGCACACACACACACGCTCGCGTGTCCGTAGAGGCTGACATGCCACACCTGTGTGTGTCCGCACCACGCCGCCCAGAAACCCCCGTGTCACGAGTGCTGACGATCGCACATTGCACCAGACCCTCATTGAGGTGAGCACAGGAACAGGAGCCATCGCGGTGGTGATTTGGGACCTTAGTGGCGACCTTCGAATCATTGACTCACGCAGCATTCAGGAAACACTGCGTGTGTGTGTTTACATGCATGTGCACTGAGCAATAACATACGTGAAGTTGTGCAGTACAGAAACATTTCATTAACACAAATCATTCGCCTTCATTAATTACATCACGGCTGATTATTCTGGAAGTCTTACGCCACTGGTTGTTGCTACAAACGGCCCTTGTGTAACGCTGTAAATAGGGCAGGAGACGGTTGACGGAGGCAACACGTATTTATTTATAACACACTACAGTAACAGTCAGTTATACAGCCTAGGAACACAGCCTACGGCTAGCGTGCCTCACACCGGCTATGCTCTCAGGTCCTCCGGCTATGTATTTCCTACAGGAGGCTATCTGACCCGACCTAGCCAGGGTACGGGTCCCAACCACTGGCCCATCGGACCCGGCCCTGATAAGGACGTCGGGCCGGGGGTTCCCAGGGTCTCACCACTGAGCCACACAGAGTCCCGGCCCTGATAAGGGCGGCGGGGCTAGGGGTCCCAGGGTCCTACCTAGCTTGCTCCGTCTTCCTTCTTCACTGGCTCTTCTGCTCCAACAACTCCCCGAGCTCTCTCACGCACCGCCCTATATACCCAACTGCCCCCCGAGGGGCGGGGCTGTATGCGGACGTCGATGTAGCCACCCCACGCACGGACCATGATGTAGACACCGCAACGTAATGGCTTGCTACACCCCGGTACGTACCACCTCTACATCACCCCCCCCCCCCCCCCCCGCATAGCTCGCAGCCGGCCCGGCTGCAAAACCCCCTATTCAATAAAGAATACATCCAAAAGCAGAACCGTGTGTGTGCCCCGTAACAACAATAACACAACAATTAACAACAACAACCGAACGCCCCAATAGATAACCCAACCCTCCAACACTCAACAACAAGAACATATGTACAATGTCGAAATTTTTTTTTTAAAGCGACATCACGCCGTCCCGTGACCCGTGCCCGCGACCCCACACGTCCAGGAGAAGCGGGACATCTGGACAGTCAAAAGGGGCTGCTCCGACACGGGCAACCTGGCGGATCCGGCCGCACGTCACGAGAAGTGGCACAATTTAGCGCGAGTCCGCTTGGCCGGTCCGTCATACGGAACAGGGCATGCTTGTCCGACAGGCGGCCCAGGTAGCCCTGGAAGGCTCGGACCGGGTTCCCCGGCTCCACACGTGCTCCGGGGATCCGGCTGCTGGCGTTCGGAGGCCGTCAATTCCGAGGCACCTGGGAGCGGGTCAGTCAGAGACATGTGAGGATCAGGCGGCGGCATCCCATTCCCCGAGTCAACGGACACATCACATGCTCGGCCATTTGGACATGAAGGGAAGGTATGTGGTGCTGTGAAAGGTTTCAGTCGGGAGGGGTGAACATACCAACAACGCTTCCCCCACTTAATCCGAACACATTGGGGGCGCGCAACCCGCACAACCTCGACCGGTCCTCGCCATGGCCTCAGTAGTTTCGGGGACGTTGCCAATGGTGCCTGCGGGCAGTGCAACCAGGCCTTATCGCCCGGTTTCCACTCGTGCGTGTGTGTCCGCTGTGCACGCAACCGCTCGTTCGCCATCTGGCAAGATCTCGAGTTCAACGTCTCTGCTTCCCGTGCCTCGGCCAATTTAGAAATGTTAAATTTAATGTGATCAGCCACTTCTGACTTAGCACGGGGTTCGGAAATCCCCCTGGGCATCTATGGGCGGATCAGCGTCCCGGCCATACATAAGAAAGAAGGGAGAAAACCCTGTCGCCGCGTGGGGAGCCATCCTGTAAGCGGTGAGGACACCTGGAATCTGTAAATCCCAATCCACTTGAGCTTCGCACACCTGATGGCACAACATGGACGTAATCGTCCTGTGGAGCCGCTCCACCATCCCATCAGTCTGTGGGTGGTACGGGGAGGTACGCACCTTTTTAGTGCCCAAAAGGTCGCACACCTCCCGTAATAAAACGCCCGAAATTTTTTTCCCCTGGTCGGTCAGCAACCGCTCCGGTGCACCTTTGTCCAAGACATAGCCCTGGACAAAGGCCTCGGCAATGGCCGCTGCCAACTGGTTGGCAAGTGGCCTGGCCATGGGCCATCGAGTGAAATATTCCACGCCAACCAGCAGGTACTTGTTACCCCTAGGTGTCACCGGGAAGGACCCCAAAATATCAAGCACAACAAGTTCATTGATGCGCTGTCCTGAATAGATTGCAACGGTGGGTTAGCCGCAATGGGAGGCGGTTTCCATTGGGCGCACTGCACACACCCTTTGAGAATGGTGGACACATCCCTCGCCATACCCGGCCAATAGTAATCACGCTGGAGCAGAGCAAGGTTTTGTGAAATCCCAAATGTAACAGTTGTTCATGAGCGACCAGAACAACCCTACCCCGCACAGCAGATGGCACAACAAGCCTATGGCATAGGGACGTACCGTCCCAATTCATAAGGAGGCCCTGTTTCACTACCCATGAGTCGACGCCAACTGCACCCTTATCGGAACCATTTGCCTTGCGACGCAGCGCGAGCAGGGATGCGTCGACCATTTGGAAGCGGCCCCACTCAACGAGGGACAATTTGAGCAAAGAATCCCCACCCGTCGGAGAGAAGGGAATCTCGGGTTGCGGTGCATTGGCCGCGGCGGCCAGAGCTGCCGGAGGGACGACAGTCTGGGGTTTGCAACGTCCCGATCCCTAAAGACACGCACATTCCGTACTTGGTGACAACCGCGACAGGGCATCCGCGTTGGTATGGCGAACACCCTTACGGTAAGTAGTTGTGAATTGATAGTCCTGGAGGACCTCCAACCATCGGGACAACTGGCCCGATGGCTGGTCAATGCGAAGCGCGTATTGAAGCGCCGCATGGTCTGTACGGACAGTGAAGTGTCGGCCGTAGAGATACGGTCGAAACTGTTGGATAAAAACCACAATAGCCAGTAACTCGCGACAGGTCACGCAGTACCTCTGTTCTGCCGGCGACAAAACCCTGCTACCATAGGCGACAACGTGTTCGACACCCCCGATCACCTGTGAGAGTACTCCACCAATGCCTGTGTTACTGGCGTCCGTGTCAAGTAAAAACGGCTCAGTGAAATCAGAGTAACACAAGGGCGGAACACTCACCAAGGCGTCACGAAGGGAGCGAAAAGCGGCTTCTTCCTCCAGCCCCCAGCGAAACTTCACACCTTTTGCCGTCAAAGCGTGCAGGGGTTTGGCTATGGTGGCAAACTGTTCGACAAAACGCCGGTAATAGGAGGCAAACCCAATAAAACTACGGACCTCGCTCACCGAAGTGGGCGTCGGCCAAGAACTGACACAATGTGTCTTAGCGGGATCAGTGGAGATACCCGAACGGCCGACGATGTGCCCTAAGTACCGCACTGATTCTCAGAGTAAGTGGCACTTTTGTGGCTTAAACTTCAATTTGGCGGATCGCATCCTGAGGAACACTGCCCTCAAACGTTGGAGGTGCTCCTCGAACGTTCTACTGAAGACGATGACGTCATCCAGGTAAATTAAACAGGTATCCCATTGAAGGCCGGACAAAACCAATTCCATTAACCTCTGGAACGTTGCGGGAGCTGAATGGAGTCCCATGGGCAACCGATTGAACTGAAATAAGCCCACAGGTGTCCAAAACGCGGTCTTGGGTTTCTTGTCAAGGGGGAGTTGCCAGAATCCCGATAGCAGGTCCAATGTGGAAAAATACCGTGCCCCCGCTAAAGCATCCAAGGATTCGTCCATCCTGGGGAGCGAATATGCGTCAGCCACCGAGATCTTATTAAGGCGAAGGAAATCAATGCAAAACCTCAGGGACCCATCGTGTTTTTTCACAAGTATGATGGGAGCCCCCCATGGACTGGATGAGGGCGAAATGATGTCCGCAGACAACATGTCATTAACAGCTGATTTCACATGTTCCTTCTCGGCTGAGCTCAGCCGGAAGGGATTTTGCCGAATGGGGGCAGCGTCACCCGTGTCAATGTGGTGACGTAATAGGTCAGTGCAACCAATATCATATTTGTGCTTGCTGAAAACGTCCGAAAATTCGACCAACAGGGCGCGTAATGACGCCAGCTGTGAACTAGATAAGTCACTGGATCCAGAACACAGTGAATCCAACCACCCCTGATCACCCCCTGATTTCAGATGCGGAGCCGGAGCAGTATCAACATGCGCTATCAGCGGCTCTCCCACGGGCACCGGTGCTGCATGAGCGAGCACGGTACCCTGTGGAATCACAGCTGCATGTGACCCCGCATTTAAAACCACAACAAAGGGGTCTCTGTCCCCCCGCACCACCGTCTGAGCCAACGCCAAATCCAAACCCCTGAGAGCTGCGTTAGACGGGGCTAACAGTACACCATGCTCCATCATACCCACCCCAAGAGATTTCCGCAAGCGTAGGGGCACTAACATCTGTGACCCCGGCGGTACGCGCCGTCACACAGGCCATGCGTAGATTGCTAGGGAAGGACAAAAATGCTATGCGGCGGCCCGAGGGGAGTTCGATGCAACCCTGATCAATGAGGATCTTGATCGGCATTTTAGCTAGAAAGTCCGTTCCCAATAAACATGGGACCGCAAGAGACGATGAGACCAAGACAGGTCCCGACAATTTAATATCCCCAATGCAAATACCCGCCCGGATCTGACCCACAATACCCAAGGATCCTCCATTTGCCGCATAACATGGAACGTCTACCGGGAGTAAGGGTCGACATTGAATGGGAAGCATATTGTAAATAAGATCAGAAATGATCGTTGCCGACGCCCCCGTGTCGACCAAAACCCGAACCTCAACACCCTCGATCGACCCAGTAACCACGGACGAACCAGCCGACACAGCCACCACCCTATGGGCCAGCTCAGACCATTGGCCTGGTCCGAGCTCCCGTACGAACCCCCCTCCCCGCACTGAACCGGCACCCGAATGCCGTGGCCCATCAGGCGTGGCGCGGTGACTCGTGTGCAACGTGTGAGTGGGCCGAGCATGTGTGTTGCCGCGACTTGCCGGAGACTGTTGGGACGACTTGGGACCTTGGGCGTCATCCAGCCGAGATCCTGTAGCGCATTGACGTGGAGCCCGGAACCCAGAAGCAATGTGGCCTCGAAGATTCGTTGCCGATCATTGCTACAACTCTGTGGGCTCTCATGAAATTGTCTTTTCCGAGACCAAGGTGCTCTGCAAACCTCCTGGCTACTATCAAAGGTTTGTACACGAAGCCATACAAATATACAAACACAGACATAATTTCAACCATGATGATGGTTACAAACTGAGTAATCATTGGAAAGATGTGATTAACCATGCAAAAAATATTTACCTACACTTATTTGGACCATCTTATTTGACAGAAAACTATTACAGGTTACTGATAGACAGCCAGTTTTGTTTTACCATGTTTAGCTTTCTACCAGGTTAAGCTTTCTTTTTTCACACTTTTGTTATGTAGGCCAGGCGTAGTCACAAACCGAACCTCTCCATAATAAAGGCTCAGTCTTTTGTTATGCAGTCTATTCATAGTCTCAAGCCGCACCTTTAATCAATGGAAAGATGTGATTAACCATGCAAAAAAAAGATTTAACTACACTTATTTGGACCATCTTATTTGACAGAAAACTATTGCAGGTTACTAATGGACAGCCAGTTTTGTTTAATCAGGTTTAGCTTTCTACCAGGTTTAGCTTTCTTTTTTCACACTTTTGTTATGTAGGCTAGGCGTAGTCACAAACCTAACCTCTCCATAATAAAGGATCAGTCTTTTGTTATGCAGTCTATTCATAGTCTCAAACCGCACCTTACCATAATAATAAAAAGTGGGCCAGTCCTGGCCCTTCACCCCCCCCCCTCAACCATTATATATACGGAGTGGTATCTCCTGTAATCTCTCATTTACTTGATACAGCTGTCGGGCTGTGACGGTTCCACCTGAAGACGGAAGCTTGTGTTGCCTCCGAAACGTCGTGATTTTTATTTTATTTTACTTTAATGAATTTAAATTTTTTACCTACGTAACTTTACCGAAAAAACCTAAGAATATGAATAAGAATATGTGGCCTCGAAGGCCGCAAGTTGTAACATGTGACGAGAGCCGTCGCTGATTTCGGTTGCTCCAGCTTGCGTGGCGTTCGCAGGGGCGACCGACCTCCAGACCTCCAGTCCCCCGACCGTGCCGTGGCGAAGACCTCCTCCTGTGATAGAGCGCCTTGGGGTTCGCTGGGCGGCGAGGCTGAGGCAGAAGCTGAGGCTGAGGCACAGACAACGACAGGCCGTTTCTGTTTAAGAACTTCGTGAGCGTGAATGCTCGTAGCAACTCGCAATGAGCATATATCTACCTCATCTGCCACGTTGATAGGAACACCCAAGTCCTGCGCCAATGCCAAAAGCTGCTCCGTGACCATTGCGTCTTTGCCTTCTTCGTCCATGCGAGGAAAAGCAGGCGTCAGCGAGAGCCAGAAGTGCAGTGCGGTAGGCGAGAGGAGTTTCCGTCTCCCCTTTACGGCGAGCGTAGAAGTGGTGGCGACAGGCAGACGGCGGTCCATAGACCCTGGCCATCAGGTGAAGCGCAGCATGGAGTGTGGAGCGGCCAGACCTTGGAGTCGACCTGAAGGTGGCCAGAGCGTCATCATCCAGAGTCGCTGGTAGCGCACGCAGTGCCTCAGCATCGGTCCACCCCGACATCTCTTGGTGAGCGAGGAACATCCGTTGAGAGGCTCCCCAGTCGCCTCCCTCAGCTTGAAAGGCCGTCAACGCGGGCAGTCGCTGTTGGAATGCCTGCCCTTCTCCCGGCTGCTGATGTTTCCGTGCAGCGCCGTCACCCAGGGAAATGGCGGCCCCTTCCACGGGTTGGTCGTGGCGACATCTGTAGCGTATCGATGACGTGGGAGGCGGTGACTAGAACCCCTCCCTCACGTGGTGCTCTCGGTCTCTGCCAGTCAACGAACTGGGCGGAAAAATGGCGCCAAATTCAGAGTCCGTGGCGGGAGCCTGATTTTGGCGCCAATCCTTGCGTTGCGGCGTTCTGCTGGTGCGAGCCGGCGCTTGGCGCCAATTCTCTCCATTGGCACCAGCCTCCCCTCCTCCAGATGCAGTAATCTCTACCAGTATGGAGGCAGCGGCGAGCAGCAACTCAGCCAGGCGGGAGTGAGCATCCTGGAGCCCACCCCCGAGCTGCAGCGGTGTGTCAGGTGGCCGCGATGGGTGCTGCAGCATCGGCACCACCTCTGATTCCCCGTGCGAGGCCTGCTGACTCGTCTCCTCCTGGTTGTCACCCTGGTCCGGCCCGTGAGTACGAACTGTCTTCCTGGTATCCATCACGTGAAGACAGTTTCACTTCTGACTCCAGTTGTAACAGTGTAAATAGTGCAGGAGACGGTTGACGGAGGCAACACGTATTTATTTATAACACACTACAGTAACAGTCAGCTATACAGCCTAGGAACACAGCCTACGGCTAGCGTGCCTGACACCGGCTACGCTCTCAGGTCCTCCGGCTATGTATTTCCTAGAGGAGGCTATCTGACCCGACCTAGCCAGGGTACGGGTCCCAACCACTGACCCATCGGACCCGGCCCTGATAAGGACGTCGGGCCGGGGGTTCCCAGGGTCTCACAACTGAACCACACAGAGTCCCGGCCCTGATAAGGGCGGCGGGGCTAGGGGTCCCAGGGTCCTACCTAGCTTGCTCCGTCTTCCTTTTTCACTGGCTCTTCTGCTCCAACGACTCCCCGAGCTCTCTCGCGCACCGCCCTATATACCCAACTGCCCCCCGAGGGGCGGGGCTGTATGCGGACGTCGATGTAGACACCCCACGCATGGACCGTGACGTAGACACCGCAACGTAATGGCTTGCTACACCCCGGTACGTACCACCTCTACACTTGTACAGGCTCTGGGGTTCCCACAAGTTTCCACTCTGGACCCAGTCCTTCTCCGGATAAGGATAATGGAGGGAACTACAGAGAGCTCCGTGTGCAGGATTGGAGAGGCCACGCGAGGCCACATCATGACACCACGAGACACATTCAGGAGCGGTCAGTTTCCACCTTTTCTTGACCATATCCTGCCATTCCTCACTCTAGGGTTAGGGTTTGACTATGGTTATGGATTTTGGTTGGGATGAGTTCAGTTTGGGGTGGGGATGTTTGGCCAGTTGTAATGACTGATTTGCACATGGGGGGAATCCGGAATTCCCGGAGAAACCCCATACATATCAACTAAATTATTTTATTTTACCACGTAAGGCCCATTGAGCTGGATAGCTCTTTTTCAGAAGCGACCTGGCCACAGATTATAGCTCGATAAAGTGACTTATCATGGTTAAATTTACGTCAACCAAATATTCTACACGTATGTTGATTCTAAATGTGGAGGGAAAAACCGGAGGACATGACCACAGAGAGAATATGCAAACTACAAATACACAGGCATCAGGGTCAGAGGAGAGAAGTCATGAGCTCCTGCATACCAGGCAAGGTAATTAACATCTTGCCACCTTGGCGCCGTCAATTTGGGGGGGTGACATTCCAAGGTTCACAGATGGGATCATGACCACTCTGGCTGCACTGAGTCAGAAATTCGGCCAGTGATCCACCAGCGCTGGATCGCGGGTCGCCGCTTGTCCGAGCGAGCGCCGCGCCTCACCGTGATAGCCACGCCGGGCGGCAGGCGCAGCTCATGGGGGAAGCGATAGATGGCAATTGGGGTCCCCCTCGGCTGGCAGCTGCCTCCCCCCGCCGTGTGGAGCTGCTGCAGGAGGCACCCGCCCAGCTCCTCGCTGTGCCGCGCGCTTGAGTTGAGCACCTGCACGAAGCGGCCGCTCGGACCGACCTCCACGACCTGCAGCCAGCTGGAGACATGCACACACGCAAGCTGTCACGCATGCTCGCTCACTCTCAAACACGCACACTCGCTTTCACGCAACCTAGCTCTCACGCACGCTCGCTCTCACGCACGCTCGCTCTCACGCACGCTCGCTCTCACGCATGCTCGCTCTTACGCACGTACGTTCACTCTCACGCATGCTCATTCTCACGCTCGTTCGCTCACTCACTCTCACGCTCGCTCGCTCTCAAGCAGGCTCACTCGCTCTCACGCATGATCGGTCGCTCTTACGTTCCTTGCTCTCATGCACGCTTACTCTCACGCAAGCTCTCTCTCATGCATGGTCGCTCTCACACTCGCTCACTTTCACGCAAGCTCTCTCTCATGCACGCTCGCTCTCACGCACGCTCACTCTCACGCATGCTCGCTCTCATGCTCGCTCACTCGCTCTCATGCAAGCTTGGTCGCTCTCACGCACGCTCGCTCGCTCTCACACATTCTCGCTCTCATGCTCGCTCACTCGCTCTCACGCACGCTCACTCGCTCTCACGCACGCTCGCTCTAATGCAAGCTTGGTCGCTCTCACGCACGCTCGCTCCCAAGCACACTCGCTCGCTTTTACGCACACTCACTCTCATGCTCGCTCTCAAGCTCGCTTGCTCGCTCACTCACTCACTCTCACACTCGCTCGCTCTCACGCATGCTCGCTCGCTCTCACGCACACTCGCTATCAAGCATGCATGCTTTCACGCACGCTCCCTCGCTCTCACGTTCGCTCGCTCTCAAGCACGCTCCCTCGCTCGCTCTCACAGATGCTCGCTCACTCACACGCTCGCTCGCTCTCAAGCACGCTCACCCTCATGCACCATCACTCTCACGCACGCTCGCTCTCACGCACGCTCGCTCTCTCCTTTGCTCTCACGCACGCTCGCTCTCACGATTACTCTCCAGCATGCACCCTCTCACGCACGCTCACTCGCTCTCACGCACGTTCGCTCTCAAGCACACTCGCTCGCTCTTACGCAGGCTCATGCTTGCTCTCATGCAAACTTGCTCACTCTCACACACGCTTATTCTCAAGCACGTTCACTCGCTCTCACGCATGTTCACTCTCATGCTCGCTCTCATGCATGCCCGCTCGCTCTCACGCACACTCCCTCGCTCGCTCTCACGCATGCTCCCTCGCTCGCTCTCACGCACGTTCTCACGCTCGTGCTCGTTCTCACGCTCGCTCGCTCACTCTCATGCACGCTCGCTCTTATGCACACTCTCTCATGCTCCCTCGCTCGCTCTCATGCTCGTTCTCACTCGCTCTCACAGACGCTCGCTCTCACGCTCGCTCGCTTTCACGGACGCTCGCTCGCTCTCACGCTCGTTCTCATGCTCGCTTGCTCTCATGGACGCTCGCTCGCTCTCACGCTCGTTTTCATGCTCGCTCGCTCTCAGGGACGCTCGCTCATGCGCACTCGCTCTTAAGCTCGTTCTCACACTCGCTCGCTCGCTCTCATGCATGCTCACTCGCTCTCATGCATGCTCGGTTGCTTTCACGCTCGCTCGCTCTCACGCACGCTCGCTCGCTCTCACGCACGCACGCTCGCTCTTACGCTCGTTCTCATGCTCGCTTGCTCTCACGGACGCTCGCTCACTCTCACACTCGTTCTCATGCTCGCTCGCTCTCAGGCTCGTTCTCATGCTCGCTCGCTCTCACGGACGCTCGCTCACTCTCATGCTCGTTCTCATGCTCGCTTGCTCTCATGGACGCTAACTCACTCTCACGCGCACTCGCTGTCAAGCTTGTTCTTACGCTCGCTCGCTCGCTCTCATGCACGCTCCCTCGCTCTCACGCATGCTCGGTTGCTTTCACGCTCGCTCGCTCTCACTTACACTCGCTCGTTATCACCATCGACAGCTGTCATCTCTCCAAATGACAAAAGTCCTTCCCATATCCAGTACACCCCCATTCATGGCGGTAATTATCTTGCCCAGATGAGCTGACAATCTCCACACTGGTCATTCTGATGGGCCACGTTTCTTTTTGATATACATATAAAATGTTTTTTTGTTGAGGTACTCTCAAAACAGACAGTTCAGCAACCTACTTATTGTACTTCCAGCTACTGGTTACCTCACTTAACTTTACTGTTACATATGAGATGTAATGCCTCTGTTGATGGTGTAGAGGAGTGAAATAGGTGGTGCGCACAGTGAACCGAGGGCAACTGAGGGCAAACAGGTGCGCGTGTGCAACGTGAGGGTTGCACGGACGAACTGCCACCTAATTAAAGGGAGAAGCGGGGGGCAAATGGAGTCGACGGGGTGTGCACGTGGAGACCGGATGTGTTGCCAGGGGGACGGGAGATAAGGGTTACGGGAGATAAGGGTTATGGGAGATAAGGGTAGATTGATGGGCCAACAGGCGCCAGCCTGGCGAGAGCCTAAAGAGATAATTAGCAGAGGGATATAAAGGTGTGTGCGTAAGCGGAGAGGGAGTTGTTGCCGGAGACCAAGTGTGAAGACATCTTGCCGCTTCTGCTCCAGCCGTCAATGGGACCTCAACACTCACGCCGTCGCCGTAGGGGTGTTGGCTGATTCCCCCGCCTGGGACAGACGAGTGAGCGGGTGTAAGGGAGTGTAGGTGAGGGTAGCGGTGGAGATGTAGAGTTGGTGTGTGCGGAGACGCTGTGTGCGGAGTCGCTGTGTGCGAAGACGCTGTGTGTAGAGTCGCTGTGTGCGAAGATGCTGTGTGCGGAGACGCTGTGTGTGGAGATCCTGTATGCGAGGACGCTGTGTGCAGAGACGCTGTGTGTGAAGATGCTGTGTGTGGAGACGCTGTTTGTAGAAACGCTGTGTGCGAAGACGCTGTGTGCGGAGAGCAGAGCTGCTGAGTGCAGGATAAGGGAGGTGAAAGGTAGATAAGAGTGGGGAGAGGTTAAACATAAGTGACCGTATAGATATTTATAGGAGTGCCTACAATTGGTTCAAGAATAGGTAAATAAAGTGTAAGCAGGTGACTTGTTATAACGTGTCGGTGTGAGTAATTTTTTAAGACACTACAATGGTGCTGATCACCTTAAAGAGTAATGCTGTATCCTCCACATTGAAAGATGCACGTTTCCTCCCCAGTATTTTAAAGTGAAAATTTGAGGTGCCTCTGTATGCGAGTTTGTGGGGAGCGGTAGTGTAGCAGTTAGCACGAACCTAGTGATCGGAGTTCGATTCCCGCTCACGGCCAACACCAGTGATGATTGTTTGAAAAGGTCCTGGGCCTCCCTAGGTTGACTCTGCCTCAAGTACCAGGTGTGATGTGTAAACATCGCCACTGGCGAAACAAAGTAGACCAGGCTTGGTGTTGGCCACCCACCTCCTCGTGTGCCGTGCCGGCCTTCATAGGTGCTCGCCAACAGCTCTTCTATGTGTGACAGATGAGATTGGTTATATGTTTTTACACCATGCACACGTTTGTGGAGCATCTGACTAGATCCTGCAAATGTGGTAACCAGTGGTCGTGTTCACAACTGTGTAATAAAGGACTCAATCTCAGATGTCGATCTCCGTTGTCCTTTATTGGGTTCATAGAATCTCCGTACCACGGCGTCTCGCTCAGGCCCGCATCCCACTCGACGACCTCTCCACAGCCCTCGGCTGCTCCGTTGTGCAGGCTCCCTGCTGTTCCAATATGCAGTCTCACTGCTGCCCCGACAGGCGATCCTTGCAGCCACACCGCTGCCCCGCTATCTAGCGTCACTGCTGCCCCTTTCACAGCTAGCCTCTCACTGCCCTGTTAGCTCTCTTCGTCTGACACCGATGGCCGTCGGTGTCGACGTCTCCCACCGCGTGGCAACCGCGCCACACTCTCCATCTTGCCCAGCGTGGCCTCCTCGTATTTCATTCCGTCTCAACTCCCATTTCCCCTTCCAGTTCTCTCCCTAAATCCTCTCCCCCACGTGACCCTAACTCCACCCACTCCCCACGTGAACCAGACTCCACCCCCCCTCAATCCTTGCTCGCATTACACGACCCCCCCTGAAGAAAACCCAGCCGTCCCCGGCTGCAACAATTATAAAAAAAATAATGCGAGCAATATTGGAACCATCTGGCATCACTGGACAACGGAGAGTATAAACGATGACAAGAACAAGAACAATAACAATCAACGAAAGGAAAGGGATTTGGAACGCGTGCGGGTCACTGGCCCATCCCAAACGGGTGGCGGTACCCCCACGGACCGAGAACGCGACGGGGTCTTAAGATCGACGGGAGTAGAACCGCCCGCCGCTGTTGGAGGCCCGTCAACGCCAAGGTCCCGTCCCCCAGGGAGACCCAAGTCCGGGGTCTCCGGCAACCGTGTCTGTGGTGGGGTTGGAAGGGCAGCGGGGCCAAGTGGCCCCGTCGCTGTGGTAGGCCCACCCAGAGCAGGATTCACCACATCCGCCTGCGTCACGGCTGGTTTGTCTGTAGAAGGCATGACAGGCACGCTTGCAGAGTCAACAGGCAAGGGCAGAGGTGCGTCGGGCGCAACAGACACTGGCAAGGCAACATCAGGGGATGACGCATCCATCCGCGGGGCCACGTAGGGCTTCAGCCTAGACGTATGAACATACCAGCGCCGCGATCCGAACCGAACCTGTGCGGATTGCGGGTTAGGGACTTCAATAAGCTTAACCGGCCCCTGCCATGGTTTGTGAAGCTTAGGGGAGGTCCCCGGCCGCACCTGCGGGGAGTGCAGCCATGCCATGTCCCCCACTCGCCAGGGGCATGTACCGGTCGAGCGTCGGGCGCAACGCTCGTTTAGCGCCTGATCCTTGGCAGTAGCCAACCGGGCCCCCTCCCGTGCCTCGGCGACGCATCGAACCGTGTCCTGAATATATTCGGGGAGAGGTTTAACAGGACCCTTCGCCCTCGTACTCAGCTGCACTTCCACCGCCGGCACATTCTCGCGGCCGTAAATGAGAAAAAATGGAGAATACCCAGTGGACGCATGAGGCGTCATCCGATACGCGGAGAGTACCCCAGGTATATGCAAGT